CCCAGGGGGCACTCCATCTGCTCCACCATTTCAGCATTCATGAGCCGCACATGGTACTTTGAAGTATGTAGAAAAAACATATAAAGCTGTGTCCAGGGCCGAATTGCTGATTTTCCGAATCAATCAAATCTTCAGATTCAGACTGAGCCGTATCAAATTGGGGCAGTGATCTGAATCAGTTAATCAAATCATTGTCCCCCGAATCAGGCCAAATCCAAATTAGAATTGAATACAGCCTGCTTTGCACACCCCTAGTAACAAAGCATTTACAATAAGATAATAGAGTAATCAGGGACCACAGCCAATAAGATGCTGCAAGTACAAGTCAGGGGCACTGAACAACAATACTCCAGCAACTGTTCAATTCAAATGGACACAACACACATTCTGAAGCAAATTTTGTATGTTGGAAAACCAAGTGCTACTGGGACACAAACAAATAATTCCAGCACATAAAAAACATGAGCATTTGTTCATCTCTACATGTCAGTCAATCTTGAGTTAGGTTGCCTCAAAGACAATTTGCATGAAATGAAACAGATGTTATAGTAACAGGATCAATTTCAGAAATCCATAATATCTATTCAAGTGAGCAACACCCTTCTTGGCATTTCATATGATAATGAAAGCACGTGGTTTTCGAATCACCAGATCCTATAAGGATGCACGTAAGGCAATGCAGGTTTCTGTCTCTGAAGGGAAACTACTATTTTGAATTTGCATTTGCTTTTGCTACTTACTTCAAAAAGTTAGTTTTCTTTACATTATACAGTTTCTAAAAGCAGAATGTCATGCTGTAAACCATTACTGGATGTCCAAAAAAATGTGATCTGAACATTTCATTTTAATACTCGACAGCATAAAACAAAGAATGCAGCCTGGGGCTCTTGCACCTTTTTCATAACGCAAGATAAATATTACTGAATGCAAATAAGGTACCTGGTTTCTCAGTTTCTGAATTTCTTCCTCTCTGTCTTTTATTCTGCTTTGTAAAGTATTTTTTGTCCGATACAGCTCTTCCTCAGTGTAATGGAGCTCCTATAAAATGAACCACAGCCAGTTACAAAATAAAATGTTTATACATGCCCTCTGGAAAGTTTAGGAAGACATATTAGCTGCTTAGGGACTTTATACTAGAGCTGTACTTCTGCAAAGTAGTAAATACTCAAAGTTTAATCTCTGCATTTTTTAAATTTAAAGGGGTGGAAATACACTGCTTGGGAAGACTGACCAAAGTGGAGTGGAACCTGTACCTACAAGATTACCAGGCTTTTACAATGCAGATAGCCTTAAGGCAAATTACAATCTAGAGTCGACCAAGTTTCATCTACTACTCTATCTACTTTCCTTCACATTCTGTTGGTCTTTCTTTATTTTATTGCCTAACCACAAGGGTTGTTAACTATGGTTCCCTGCAAATAGATAAGGAAGGAAAAATGAAATGCATTGGCCTGAATCCGAGAAAAAACCTTAAGGGTCTCTACTGAAATAAATTTTAGAACAACCTAGAAGCCATGTATATAAAAGCATATAATGCTTTCAATGAACACCAAAGACACTTGTCCTGAAAAACTTAGTCTAGTCTAAAGATACAGCATAGATGGAGCACTCTCACTGAGTGGCAAAATTTAGCACAACTCCTGTTAATGTTTTGATTTAGTATATACAAGCTTTTGAATACCCAGACAAAGATCCAAGATGTTTACTATATTATGCTTTGTTATATCTTTGTGTAACTTCAGTTATCTACTGTTAGAGCAACAGGACACTGCAACACTTCTTTCCAATTATCAGATCAACAACATAAAATAAATAGCTGATTAGTTTTGGTTTTTGCCAATTTGATTTCTGAAGCTAAATACATTAAAGAAATAACCCTTGGATATAACAAAGCTGTAGTTATTCATGTCAATATGTAATAAAGCCACCCTAAAACTACATTTGTTTACAACAACTCATATTATGCCCCTGAAAATTAACCTAAAGTTTGCTAAATGTATAGAATAAGTTCCCTCTTTTAGCTCCACTTTTACTAGTCTAGATATAGAGCTGAGATTGAGGGCAGGTAGAGGTGCACTCTCTCAAGGGACATAGGTAACAGAATACACCCTACCATCTGGCTTTGATACAACAAACATCAGCCATCCATCAAAAGCAGGCTTGGAACTTTTGCCTTTTAATTAGCTCAAGATGTTAACATCCAATTAAAATGTAATTTCTGAAAGGACACATAATCCTATAGGATAAGTTGTACCCAGCAGGTATTGTGAATTCTCCAACTTTCTCCATTATTTATTCTCTTGCATGGCTACTTGTTTATAACAGAAATCCCTAGTAAGATATAAGAGGATGGTCTGTTTTCAACTGACTGATAAAACTTAATAGAAGCAGTGATTAACCACGTACAGGGTGACCATATGTCCTGGATTGGCAGGGACAGTTCCGGATTGTATAGGTTGTCTCAGTGTCCTGGCCATTGGAGAAAATTTAAGCAGAAAGTCCCAGACTGCCAGAAACCTTGTAGCCATGGGGTTGGGGCTCTGTGTCTGTGCTGCCCTGTCCCATCTGGCCCTGCTTCTGGCAGCCGCAGGGTGAAGTGTGTGGCAGCAGGCAGGGCCGGAGCAGCTATCAGGATGCACTGGTGAGCATGGTGCCTTGTCACCCGAGCCAGGACTGCAGGCTGGGGGCGCTGTGTGGGCTCTGTCTGCCCCACATTGACTTACGGCCCTGCCCCATCTTGGCACCTGCAGCCACATCCTGGATACATACTGCCAAGCCAGACCAGTCGCATTGCAGCCCCCCACACGGACAGCCCAGTCCAGCCAGGCTGTGTCCTGCCCTAATTGTACTATTTAAAAATTCTGTACTATCCAATTTAAATGTTTTACTTCTTTGATTTTAAGAGCCATTAGAATATTGTAAGATTGCCAGCCTGTCTCCCCAGCCCAAGGATGACTAATGCCATTCCCAAGTCTTTCAAGGGTTTATCCCTTGATGACAGTGCTTGTCACTAAAAAGGGCACAGGGAAGCAGCAGAGAAGCCTGTAGGTAGCTGCACTCCCAATTAGGTGCATGACCAGAAGGGAACTGCCTGACTGGGAACAAGGCCTAGCTGTCTGGGTTAAGAACAGGCCCTAAGCAGTGGAGCCAGCAGTTTGCTGTGAGCAGCTAGGAGAAAAACCGCCACCTGGCTGGAGCTGCTGCTCATGTAACATCTTGGTGGTACAGAGCAGGAGCTATAGGGATGGTGGAGGCTCCTGGTCCTGAGGCATGACCTAAAACTACACCCTGCTGGGGCTGGATGGTGTGGTGGGGCTGCCTGCGGCAGGGCAGTCTTCAGGAAATGCCATACCTGGGCCTCCCCGGTGAAGGGCAAGTATGGGGCACCAGAAAACCTCAGCCCCTGCTGCTTTGTCGGTGACCCTGTGGAGGGGAAAGGCTACAGAAGCACAACCTGAGAACAAAGCAAAGGCCCAGGTTTACTGTGCAGAGCTTGATGCAGGGTCCAGGTCATGTGAAGAAACCCAAGACAGGGCCCAGGTCCATGGTGTGGCTTGAGGTTCAAAGGGAGCTGGGTGTGAAGCTTCTGGGGCAGGGGGACTGAGGCCCAGTGTTGGGTAGGGGATTGAGGCCCCATTATGGGGTGTAAAGGAACCAAGAGGGTACCAAGTCAGGCAGGGAGCCCAAGGAAAAAGGGAGGGGCTTGGAGCCCCAAGTGGGTGCAACTGAGAGCATAGTGCAAGCACACAGGGATTGAGAGTCCCAATGTGAGGGCACAAGGATTACGAGCTCATGTGAGGGCATGGAAATGAGAGTCCCTATGTAAGGCACTGGAGTGAGGGCACAGGAATGAGAACCCTAGCATGGGGCGTGGGACTGTAGGTTGGGTGACAGGCAAAAGTAAATTTAGGCCAAGTGTTAGGCCATGGATGCTAGCTGCAAGGCATGGGACATAGTATAAGGGAAGGTCTGGAGCTGTGTATAGGCCCTTAGCATCAGGGTAATTAAATGGGTAGCCTCCCACTTTCTTAACTTCTAATTAGTTTCAAAGGTGTGGCAGGAGAGCGGTTAGCCATAAGACAAGAGAGCGGGCCAGCAACACGACTGGCCCCGGGATGCCCACTTGTTATACCCTTGAACACAAAACTATTCAATCCAAATTCCAAATGTAAACCCAGTGCTCCCCCAGTAAAGATCCTTTGCAAAGATTTCCACCTCTACCGTACTCCAGAACATATCAAATGATACATTCTGCTTTCAACACCACTTACATGGGATTTTCCAATCTTTTAGGAACCACCCTGACTCTTTCCAGGACCATTTGCTAATAATCCCTAAGCCTAAACACTGCTGCTCTAAAAAGGGACATTGCCTTTGATCAGGCCTGTCCAGCTCCAGACCCGCCAACACCTTACAGGGATACAACACCTTGCTCAGTTTCATTTAAATTAACTCAACTGAAAGGGGCAACCAGGTACTGAAGTTCTGTTCCCATATCCTATGATTTGCCTACATGCCAGACATACTGCCATTCTGACCAGACTACTTTATAAACCTTATAACAAGAAAGGATAAGACACCATTTCATTTAGGCCTAAGCTGCCTTGGTTTGGCTTTACTTACCACTGGGCGAGTAGGTACATGGGCATCTACCAGGGAGCAGGTGATGCATAGTACGTCCCTGCCCCATTCCAAGTTGCTGTAATTTGTTCGTCTGTCCATACACACAATATAAATCTTTTGTAGCAGGTGCATGTGGGACACTCCTGAAACATTTACACTTAAACCCCCCCCCCAAACCTGTGATTAGCCAGGCTTTTTAAAAAGTCTTCTGGCACAACTCCACAAAATACAATGGAGAAATGATGCATTGCACTATTTCTCTGTGCATAAACTCCAGAGTAGCAGTGTGAATAATGAATCAAAATATATCAATACTAGGTGGCAGCCATATATTTTGGAAAAGGTTTATTATAATGATTTTAAACTACTGTATATTATCAATAAAAACTGCCCTGGAAAACATGCAAGTGTTGCACTGCTCACATGATGAAAGTGTTTGATTGCTACACAAAAATCTTGGCTCATAGCCTTTAATAACGGAAGATTTGAATGCATTAAAATTAATCTCTCTTTCAATATCCCGTTTTTAAAGAAACTAATTTTCACAGTTTGTAATCCTTATATATTTACACAGAGAACTGCATCTCAGGCATTGTGTATTGTCAGAAATGCACAGTTTTTGCTTTCTTTGCAAAAGAGTTTTGCTGCATGTTTAAAATTGAATTTACACATCAATAAAGAGTTTAATTAGAACTAAGACTACTGTGCTATGATGAAATGATCTCAAGAAGATCACCGTCTTGTTCACTTACGTAGGCAATGTAGTGTGTGTGTCTTTTAGGATTCTTTTCCCTAACATTGTGTACAATGAGTAACTTCACTCTGACAACCAGAAAAGAGAGGTAAATTGCCACTAGAGACTATAGTTATAGGTAGGGGAGATCTACCAAAGACAAAGCAGTTGCTGCGATTTCATGGGCAGACAGTGGGGCTGGCAGACATTTTCATGGGTGGAACTTAGCTCCACCCTCCTGCAACATACCTCTGATTGGCCAAGGGACCCTGGTGGCCCCAACCCTCACCACTGATTGGCTGCCAGGGCTATCCATCATTTGGCCCCACCCCTTGCCATCAATTGGCGGTGAGGGCTGTCCATCATACGACCCTTGCAGCCAATCAGCGGCAAGGGTTGTGGGCGGCCACAGTTCTACTGCCAACATCCCATGTAAACTTTAATAAGTCAAACTACTTCCCTGGTTGCAAAATGAGGCCAGGCCCATTCTTCTTAAGGCAGGGAGACAGTGGCAAGGAACACAGAATACAAATTCTTCCCCCTCCCCTCCCTCACAGTGGCTTTGCAAAGAATGGCACCATGTCCTGCAAACAATAGCAATGTATTAAAGACTTTGCTTCTCTTGCCCTTGGAAATTGTCCCTGTGGCAACCTGACAAAATCTACTTTCATTTCATTAGGCAGTGCCAATAGGTACCCAGAGGTACACAAACATTAAAGTGTCTTCTTCTGAAATGTTTGCACACAATCTCAAAGCCTACTTTCAAAAGTACATAATTAAATCACATTTTCAGAACACATTCTACTTTTCAAGGAGATGTTATTTGAATGAATGTATGAGAATCTCTAATTTTTGGAGTTAAAAAGATCAAAATCAGCCTTATGTCTTAAAATAGGACCATGTTGCTTGGTTTTTGGTTGTAGCTGTGTTGGTCTAAGGACATAAGCAAGCAAGGTTCTTTGAGTAGATGTGTTATCTTTTATTAGACCAACTGAGTAGTTGAAAAAAGTTATTGGCAAGCTTTTGAGAACAAACACCCTTCTTCAGGCATAGAGAGAGTCTGCTCTTGTTGGGTGTTTTCCTGGATGGATCTGATCTTCCCTGCCACACATCTGCACTTTCACAGACCTGCATTTTACATACTGACTTAAGTTTCTATTTGACCCAAGAGAGTACACAAACACCAGCAGACTTCTCCCTATGCCTGAAGGGTGACTGTGCCCAAAAGCCTGCCAAAAACTTTTTTCCAACTACTCAGTCTAATAAATGATAACACATCTACTCAAAGAACCTTGCCTGCCTTATAATAGGACCAGAACTGTAAACTTCTAGTATGACAAGGCAAGACCCTTCTGCATAATAAAGCACATTTTAGGAATCAGGAGTGCAGCCCTGTCTTATGGCTATAAAAAAGTAATTGAGAGGGTGCACTGATAGCAACCATTTACAGTAGTATCCTTATCAGTTAAAGGGCAACATGCTCACACAAACTGCAGTCCTATAATCCCTCATATCAAGAATCTTGCACAGCCCCATGGACTTCAATGAGATACTATTTATTTGTGCAGAACAGACTACAGAGGTGGCAATACTTTACTCAATACCCAATTCTACCCTTGCAAAAAATGGCAAACACTCCTACTGAAGTCACTGGGTTTAAAGTGACCCATAGTAACAACAACATGCATCTTAAAATCACAAATTACTTCTTCAAGTAGATATGATACATAGATTATCAAAATTTATGATGCATCTGAAAGCTTGTAAACAAAAACTTCTTTGCACAAGGAAGTTTAAGATTGGAAAAAGGTCAAAATACCAACTCAGGGCAATTTGACAGATTTGAATTAAAGTCATAAATCTTCCAATTCTAGAGCCAAAACAGTTTCCAGAGCTAAAGTTATACCAGGCCTCCTGTTTACCTGCTTTTGCCGTTCCAGTTCAGCCTCCACTTCTTGCTTGGCAATTTTGTGTGTTGCTATTTGCTCTTGTAAGTCCTGAAGCTGCTCCCTTGCTGATTCAGCTTCATTTACCTGCTGAGTCTCCATATCCTAGAAATAATATAAACACTTTTATTCCAATAACATCAAGCCATGAAGTAATCCTTAGAAGTAAAATCAAAACTCATTTCTGCAGGGCAGAACTCAAAATGTAGTTTAATTTTTGCACATTACAGCAGAAGCAGGATCATGTGGACAAAGGATCATTTTTTCTCAAAAATGGCCAACTATCTCCTGTCTTTCATCTACAGCTGAACCCTAGGAAACAGAGTTGGACATAATTGCAGGAAGAAGGGATAAAGGCAGCAGGGGCTACGTAGAGACTGGGAGTCACTTCAAAGATCAGGGGCCCCACCATGAAATTCTGGAAAAAATAAAAGCAAGCACTTATGTCCTCTTCTGCAAAGGAGTACTTGTGGTGATTTTGGAAAGAAATACCTCTCATTTTAAAGGAGAAAATAGTAGCAAGACACCCCAGTGGCTCCTTTCCACACCTTACTCCAGATGCATAGGTTAGTCAGGGAGAATGGGAAAAAGAAAGCATAGATCAAAGAAACCAAACTCAACATCAAACATATATTTTCTAAGCATATGCCAGAAACACAGTATCATTCCCAGCAGACTGAACATCTACAATCCGCCGACTACTACACAACTCCGAGTATACTTCACAACTATGCAAGGGAACTTCAGAAAGAACTTAGAAATTATCTCCTTCACAACCTACTCCAAAAGAGGTCAACTCAAGAAGGAAATCAATACATGCTGCAACAACTTGAGAGAAATCCAGATATCTTCCCATGTATTATACAAAGAGACTACTAAAGATATCTTACAATATTCATCCAATATAAAAAGAAGAAATGGAACCAATGGCTACAGAAACAAGTTTCCTAGCTGTAAAACAACCATCTGAGAAACAACATCAATACCTTACAACATACCAACCTCGTACTCAATTACTCAATGAAACTGGAAGAACCAATCAACCCTCAAATAATATCAATCTCTCCACTCACACACTTACCAAAACCCAAACAAACAAAAAAAACCAGTCTTCTCTAAAGGTCTTAATTTCCCTCCAAAACCCTCCCCCCCACAATTATATACTTCAATGTGGAGAACTTGAGACGCAAGCATTAGAAATCTTCTTAAAGGAATATTACCACAACCAAAATGAAGAGACTTCCAACAACACTTCATCCTTTGACAACATTAAGGAAAAGATTAACCCCCCCCCCCCCCCCAAAAAAAAAAAACCAAACAAAAAAACCAAACAAACCATCAGCTTGGACACCTCACAGTAGATGAAATTCAAACCTCTTGACCACTATATTGACTGCTTCAAGGAAAGATTGAACAATGAAATAATCAAACGCCACCATAATAACCTCAGTCTCAGAGACAAGGGCCATAGAATTTCTAAGATCCAACCACCAGATAGTAACAAAACCAGCAGATAAAAAGAAGAGCTATAGTTATCCTTAATCATGAAATCTACATAAAAGAAGCCTACAGACAGCTCTCCGACACCACCTACTATGAAAAACGAGAGGAAGATCCAATGCACTTTTTCAGCCTAAAACTCAAAACCACCACCAAATTAATTTCCATCTGCACTACATGAAAAAGCTACAGAACTTGATCCCTCTACTACCCAACCCAGGGACTTTTTTTACATGCTTTCTAAAGTCCACAAACAAGGGAACCCAGGAAGACGTATAATATCCAGCCATGGAACCCTAACTGAGGAACTACCAGGTTTCATCGAATCCATCCTAAAACCTCTTGTAACCCAAAGATGGATATTTGTCCAAGGCACAACAGACTTTCTACAAAAACTTAAAACAGAGGCCACCTTCTCAGCAATACCCTCCCATTTATCATGGATGTTATCAGCTTATATACCAACGTCCAACACCAGGATGGCATCTAAGCCTGCCTTACATATCTACAAGAGCAAGATTACGACTCGGAGTACAGACCTAAAGTTATTACTGAACTTATATGCTTCATCCTCACACACAACAGCTTCACTTTTAATAACCAACACATCCTTCAGACCATAGGGCATAGCTATGGGCAGCAAAATGGCCCCACAATTGCCAACCTTTTTATGGCCACTTGGAAGAAGAACTAATTTCTCAAGAACTGCACCATCAAACCCATGCTATACTTAAGATATATAGATGACATCATCATTTGGACTGAAAAAATCTGCCATTGCTAACCGATTCCATCACAAATTCAATAATCATCACCCTTCCATCAGATCTCTTGAATACTCCAGCACCAACATTTCCTTTTTAGATACTATGATCAATATCCAGAATGGTAAAATATAAAACCACCACATACAAGAAACCTGTGGACCAACATACATATCTGCACAGAACCAGCAACCACCCTAAACACACCAAGAAAGCTGTAATATACAGCTAAGCCCTCCAAAACCACCAAATCTGCACCAAGGAGAACACCTGTGATCATCACCTCACAAATCTCAAAAGGGATTTCACTGAACAAAAACACTCCTCCGGAGAGATACATTGCACTTTTGAAAGAGCCACCTGGATACCATGTGAAGAATTGCTCCAGTACAAAAACAAAATCCCCATGAATTGCACACCATTAGTATAACATACCATCCCTCTCTGGAACTTCTTCCCAGAACAACCCATCCTAGCCTTTAAACAAGCACAGAACCTTGCCAACCGAATCACCAGAAGCAAACTTCCTCTGGCCCAAAACACACCAAATGCATCCAGACCATGCTGAGACAAGAAATGTAAAGCCTGCCAACATATCTCCACCACTCCCACAATAACTACACCCCACAACAGAACCATCACCATTCCTGAATCTCATCCAGTGCACTAAATGCCTTGATGGAAAATATATAGGAGAAACCAAAAAACAACTGTTACCAAAATGAACACACACTGAAAATCTAATTCCCTGTGGGTACACGCTTCTCACACAAGACAACCACTCTCTCTCCAATCTGAGTAATGTAGGAGTAAATTTAGTTGGGCTTCTGGCCTACTTAACTAGAAAAACAGACAGAGACCAGAAGTGCTGATACTGCTTATTTCAGTTACGTGTTTTGAGATAACAAATCCTGCATGTCCTATTACCCTGTGCACAGATGTTCAATTAAGTAAACTTGTTTTAGTTTCTCCAAGGTCGTATTTTTTTCCTTTTCTCTTTATCTGTCTTAAGTATAAAAATGCTTGAAAAAACTTAGAGAGGAAGAGGATTCCTTTGAAACAGACAAGTGGGCGATTCCCCTTGCTGTATAAAATCCTCCCTGTAATCACAGTATAGTCCTAAACAAAGAAAAGCTGGCTCTGTCAGTTCTGATTCAACCACAATGGGAAGTTTGATTTCTTTCACAGTTCTAATCCTCAAAGTGAATTTACAAAACACCTTTTGCAGATGAGCCTATGAACTTCGCTTTATAAGTCTACTGGATACAAAAAATCATGGACTAAATATAGACACTGGATTTATGGCACCTATCTGCCATTCGATAACCCCAGGTAACTTACCAGCTACATTCCATCTCCCCGCCCCCCACCTACCTGTCTTACACCCATCATCTCCCATGGCCTCAGATCCTCACTGCCACACATTTGCGTTTTCACAGAACTGCATTTTGCATATTGGCTTCTATTTCATCCAAGAAAACAAAACAAGAGCAGACTCTCTAAGAAAACAAAACAAGAGCAGACTCTCTAAGAAAACAAAACAAGAGCAGACTCTCTAAGAAAACAAAACAAGAGCAGACTCTCTAAGAAAACAAAACAAGAGCAGACTCTCTAAGAAAACAAAACAAGAGCAGACTCTCTAAGAAAACAAAACAAGAGCAGACTCTCTAAGAAAACAAAACAAGAGCAGACTCTCTAAGAAAACAAAACAAGAGCAGACTCTCTAAGAAAACAAAACAAGAGCAGACTCTCTAAGAAAACAAAACAAGAGCAGACTCTCTAAGAAAACAAAACAAGAGCAGACTCTCTAAGAAAACAAAACAAGAGCAGACTCTCTAAGAAAACAAAACAAGAGCAGACTCTCTAAGAAAACAAAACAAGAGCAGACTCTCTAAGAAAACAAAACAAGAGCAGACTCTCTAAGAAAACAAAACAAGAGCAGACTCTCTAAGAAAACAAAACAAGAGCAGACTCTCTAAGAAAACAAAACAAGAGCAGACTCTCTAAGAAAACAAAACAAGAGCAGACTCTCTAAGAAAACAAAACAAGAGCAGACTCTCTAAGAAAACAAAACAAGAGCAGACTCTCTAAGAAAACAAAACAAGAGCAGACTCTCTAAGAAAACAAAACAAGAGCAGACTCTCTAAGAAAACAAAACAAGAGCAGACTCTCTAAGAAAACAAAACAAGAGCAGACTCTCTAAGAAAACAAAACAAGAGCAGACTCTCTAAGAAAACAAAACAAGAGCAGACTCTCTAAGAAAACAAAACAAGAGCAGACTCTCTAAGAAAACAAAACAAGAGCAGACTCTCTAAGAAAACAAAACAAGAGCAGACTCTCTCTGTGCCTCAAAAAGGGTGTTTGTTCTCAAAAGCTTGCAAAGAACAATTTTTCCAACTATTTAGTTGGTCTAATAAAAGATATCCTATTTACCCAAAGAACCTTGTCTGCCTATGTCCATAGAGACCAACACGGCTACAACCAACACCCCTAGTATCAAAGAAGCACTACTCACCCCAAGAGAAACCTTTTCCTACCCATCATTAGTAAATCAATACTGAATCCAACTCAATAGCAGTTTCAACCCCAAATGGCTACAAAGCAGTCTTGAGTATCTTTGTAGCGGTAACACTACAAGTGGTAGGTAGGCATCTAAAGCCCCAGATATTTTCAGTGAAACATAAGGATACTGTGTGCAATAAAAAGTACCTGTAGCTCTGTTCTCAGAAGCTGCATCTGCCCCTTTAGCTTTTGTATTTCCTCCTTCTGTGTGTCTCTTTCATGTCTCAGTTCTTCTAGCTCCATGGTGCTTGCAGTATGGCTATCCAGACCTTCAATACCAGAGCCTTCCTTCAGGCTGTTTATCAACTTTTCTTTTGACTACAGGATTAAACAGATTTGTGTATTAACTGATAAATATTAAATATGTAATTCAACATTTAAACAAGCAGCTTAACTCTCATTGAGGATGAGCGGTCCATACTTAAATGTGTGATCAAGACTTGGCTCTAGAATCCTGGAGCAAAACTAGAATTAAAATTTATTTCTTTAGTTCCAATGTTAGAATTAACAAGGACCTCATGGATTTTAAGGCCAAAAGGGTCCATTATGATGATCTATTCAAGTGGTGCTCAATCGTTTGGTCCCACAGATCATCGATGAATGGCTTTGTGCTGGTCCCCATCCACCAGGATCAGGCCCTGGAGCCTGAGCCACCCTTGCCCACTGGGATCATGCCCTGGGGCCCTGTGTTTCCCCCTGTCCAGCCCAATTCATGGACTAGTATTCCAAGTAATACACCAGGGGTGGGCAAAGTCCAGTCTATGGGCTGGATCACTTCCACAGTGGACTCCATTTCCCAGCAGCCTCAGCCTGTATTGCTGTGGCCAGTTTCCACAGAGACTGCAGGAGTGGTGGAGCTGTAACAGTGTGCAGCCAAGCTGGGTGCAAGGCAGGACAGAAACTTCCTCTGGGACCAGGATCTGGCAGCGGTGACAGCAGGATCCAGGTAGGGGCATGCAGGCAGTGGATCACAGCTGTCCTGGCTCTGGATCACACTGTCACTGCTGCAAGATCCCAGCCCCAGCACAGCTCTCCACACTTCTGTGCACCCTGCCAGTGTTGCTGGGGCCAGTCTTCATGGAAACTCAGGCCCCATGCTGTCCAAGCTTCATGGTTGCTACAATCTCTATGGAAACCAGCCACATGGGCAGGGGCTGCTGGAAATTGAGTCCAGATGCCAGCCGGATCCACCATTTTTCCCTGTAATACAGACTTGCTGCTGAAGGTCATAAGCTCTCCATTTTTCATCCAAATACTTTTTCCCTGTAATCCACAGTAGGCACATGCCAAAAGCATGTGTGTTTGGTGTAATAAAGTAGAAGAGATCTGTATCCATGAAATAGTTTCTAATTTTCGAATCCTATACTGCCATGTCTACTGAAAAGTAGGAGTTAAGATTGTATCCAACTCAACTGAATTTCCAAAAATTTTGCTAGAAAACTTAACTGTATATCATCCAAGGAATGAACTCAGCAGTAAATTTCATTTCTTGAACACATACAAAGGCAAAGGGGAAAAAAAGGTCTCTCAAATACAACCAGAGGTGATATCCTTTACCTAATAAGATGTACAAAAAGAGAGAGCTCTTCTATGGGGAAACTTAATCCTGTTACCACCAAACTTTTAAATGGAATTTGTTTGCATTTATAACATAACATACACCCACTGTTGCATATTTAGAGCTGAGCCAGCAATTTTATCACTGTGGGTGGATCCTTACAGCTGCAGAGTCCCTGTGACTTAGTATTATTCTTCATAAGAACTGTGGTCTGCCCACACAGAAATTATTTTAAAATTAAGGTTTGAATTTCCATGACAATTGCTTAACTCTCTACATGAAATTCTGTTGTCAAATTATGAAGTTGTATTTTCAGATCTACCATACCGCTAAAAACGTACAGTAAAGAATTCAAAGGATATGT